AAAGTCAGTTTCAAACAATCTGTGTTGATGTACGCGTAGATTGTGCGTCATTAGTTGTCAACCTGTCAGGGTAATGTATGAATACAACATAGGAGGCACTCACCTCAGGCATCAGTACACATGCGACATACTTTGTGTCAGGTACCTCTCGATTGGCATACCTCTGGTGGAGGGCTGTTAGCCACCCAAACAGCTCTTCGCTCTGATGTAATGGCAATATAAAAGAAGAAAGATTATGCACAATAATCTAACTCCATTAATACAAATGCAGTCCTCTTAGTTGTCATTTAAAATCATACATGCAACTGCTCACTAATACATTTTATCACAATCGTTCTAATATGTGCTGATTACTACATTGTACTTTCTTTAATAACACGATTAGATTAATAGTAATGGTAAAGAGTTTAAGGTGCTTCACTGACATGTGCAATAATTTTTCTTTTCACTTGAAAGTTCACACAAAGGTAAAGTACATTCAGGATCAAAAGTAGCCACCTTTCCAATTACATAATATTAATAGCAACAACAATGCAAAGACATAGTACAACTGTCCATCTCCTAGATTTCACCCAATACCAAAGGATGCATCTGTAACAGACAGGAAATGTTGGTGGGTCCTTACCAGCTCTTCATTCGTTATGTATCCAATCCCCTGGCCCTCCAGTGTGTTACGCACAGCGCTGAACTTGCTGAAGAAGTAACTGTGCCTTCTGGACGGTATTATTCCCTCATAAATGCCAGCCAGGTGATCCTGTTAAGTTTCACAACAGAAAACATCATGAACACTGTTGATTCTTACTTGAACACGTTCATTTACTAGTATATGGTGTAAATCCCTCCTGCTATAAAATTGCAACATGATGTAACCCAATACCAGTTACCATTGTGTTTGGAAGCAAGATGAAAGAAAGCAAAAACAATATGTTTTCCTATGGTGAACAACTCCTCCAATCACATTGGAGTCGTGGCAAGAGTGACACTCAAAATAAGGCACACTTATCATAACAGAACAAGATGAAAAGATGATAGACATGGCTACTTTGTAACTTGCATTAGAAATATACGCTAGGGGTGCATAAGTATTCTCACAAACTGTATGAAAGTGAAGATAAATTCATGTCGAATTGTAATAAACAGATAAATGTGATAAAAGTTATATATATCAGTATAAAGATTGTATCTATTCAATAATTGGTTACCAAATAGATAAAAAAACTCGAGTGCTTGTGGTGGAAACGAGTCTGGTCTTACTTCGGCTTCCTGTTGCGTTTGGATGTACTCAACAATGCGCTTCTCCAGGTTTTGCCTCCTTGCATGCAGAACGTCCACCCTAAATAGCAGAAATGCCTTAGTTGTAAAACCAAATCTAAACACTTTGGCTATTCTACAATGGAGACATAACAAAGATCCATGCATGATAAATGGTGAGGGCTCGAAATACTGCAGTGATTATACATTCACATGATGAAAAAACCCTTGAGCTTACGGTTACTCAGCTGTAACATGTTTTGGAATGCAACAACACTCCTCAGAACAAAAACACAACTGTTTGCTTATTGGGTTATTCGTATGTATCTACACTTCAAACAAATATAAAGATATAAAGAAACAAACTTGGAGAAGAGCTCGAAATACCCATGTGCAATGTGCACATGATTTCAAGATTTGCACAAGATGAGCAGAAGGAGGAGGGGGACTGTCCCGGACACATTGCAGGCAAAGACCATACATTATTTTTATATTAAACAGTATATCATGCACCACAATCAAGGGCAACAAATATGCAAAATAAAAATTACTAAATGCGCTAAGATTGTTTTCTTTATGTGCCGTATAAAATGTTTTTAATTTCAGGAAGTTCCAACAGTTACTCTTGTGTTTGTGACATGTGGGGAGTGGGAGGGGTGGGGGAGTTACTAGTGCAGTGGTGAACTGGAAAGCTAAAGCTGATGCCAGGAAATACAACAATCTTTCTTTTGATATTTTTCTTCTTGTTTCAAAGCTTTGCATTTTTTCAGTTAAATTTTTTTCTTGAAAGCTGAAACATCATTAAAATTAATTCAAACTAGGAAGGTCAGTTAACATTGTAATTCATTGTGGGCTCAGGATCCTTCTATTGTGCCATCTAGAAAAGAAATCATGTACCACTTTCAAACGAGCTGGAAAACAGTTGCAGACCAACTAAACATAATTCTGGACATATATTTTTAAAATTGCACCAAAATTTTTTGCCAATGTGCAATTTTGCACAAACCGGAAAAAAAAGGATTTCGGGTCCTGAGGAGGAAATCTCTAAGAATATTTGTCACTCACTATTAAAACAATTTCTTAACAGAGATGTGCACTTTCTGGAACCATTATCAAACAGAAGTGTATATAAATGTTAATAAAAATATAAAAGTAGGGGCTCACTCAAGGGGGGTCTTGACATTGTTGATGTGACTGTCACAGTGGCTCAGTTGAATACGCTTCCCACATTGCAGGCAAATGAAGGAGCCACGTGGCTTCTTTGTGAGGCCAGCGCACTCAAAATGGAGCCACTGGTGGCAGTTGTCACACTGCAGCCAGGAACATGCCTCAGGAGCCGAGCAATGTTCAAGCCTCGCACATCTCGCATCGACAGCGTCGCTGTTGTCAGCAAGTTGCTTCTTAACCCCCAACAGGAAAGCTGGGACGTCATCCTGTCCCATACTGTCGAGATCACGATTGCATGCGAGGGACTCTGCATTCTGCGGACAGAAAAAAAATTATAAACATTGAAAGCTGCAATTAACCACTGCAATCAATAAAAAGAGCCTCTTGATTTTGTACACCTATAAAAGTGGCTCACGAGGCCTTGTTAATGGAACCTCACAGCCCTGCAAAGTGGAGTTATGTGATTTCAGGCAGTATTTCAGGATTTACAGGCTAGAAATCTCCATGCTAGTGCCACAAAAGTCTCCTATACCATAAATAT